AAAAAAAAAAAAAAAAAAAGATTTAGAGATTCTTTAGCCTAGACAAGAAAGATAGAGGGGTAACTGTAACTACTAGGAACTTCCTTTTGCGAGAGTGACCGGTTGTCTAGTTCTCCAGGAGAGAGGATTCACTCAGGTACATAGCTATCCTTGTCTTAAAGGGGTTTCAAACTCTGAATAAATACAAGATGTTGAATATTTTGTCCCCAAGACCTAGGCCCGGTGTGGTGGGTCACGCCTGTAATCCCAGCACTTTGGGAGGCCCAGATGGGAGGATCACTAGAGCTCAGGAGTTTGAGGCCACGGGCAACATAACGAAACCTTCTCTCTACAACAAAAACAATGATTAGCTGGGTGTGGTGACACCCGCCTGTGGTCCCAGCTACTTGGGAGGCTGAGGTGGGAGGATCACTTGAGCCCAGGAGTTGGAGGCTGCAGTGAGCCATGATGGTGCCCCTGCACTGCAGCCTGGATGGCAGAGCGAGATCTTGTCTCACAACTAAAAAAATTAGCCTTGTGTGTGGCGCATTGCTCTCTTCTCAGCTATCAGGGAGGCTAAGATGGGAGGATCACTTGAGCCCAGGAGTTCCTCCAGGCTTCGGTGAGCCATGGTCATGCCACTGTACTCCAGCCTGGGCAACAGAGTGAGACCTTGTCTCCAAAAAAAAAAAAAAGCAAGAAACAAGGGTTTATTATTCTTGAAAACATGGAAAATTAAAATATCAGAAAACCCACATTCTTAAGATATTTAGAAAAAAAAAAAAAAAAGGTGGCCAGGTGCAGTGGCTCATGCCTGTAATTCCAGCACTTTGGGAGGCTGAGGTGGGTGGATCACCTGAGGTTAAGAGTTCCAGACCTGCCAGGCCAACATGGTGAAACCCCATCTCTACTAAAAATACAAATATTAGCTGAGTGTGATGGCGCATGCCTGTAGCTACTTGGGAGCTCGGGAGGCTGAGGCATGAGAATCACTTGAACCCAGGAGGTGGAGGTTGCAGTGAGCTGAAATCACGCCACTGCACTCCAGCCTGGGCAACAGAGTGAGACTGTCTCCAGAAAAAAAAAAAAAAAAAAGGCAGCAGGAAACTCAAAGGGAAGGTTGATAATCCCAGCCAGGGTCTACTGAGCCCCTGCCTTGTTCCAGGCAGTCATGGGAGCAGCGTCCTTTCTCCTCTCCCCTCTCCTGGCCGAGGAGCAGGGGGCCCACCGCAGGGAGGCCAGAACGAGAAAAAGCACGCAGACTCCCAGTTTACAGCAGGATGGCATTCATGTTCAGCTTCATGAAACTCTATTCCAGAGAAATACGAGAGACCCAAGGATGATCAAAAGGAAGAGTTCAACACGTGGGTCAGTAATATGTACGTCTTCTTTGTGAACACGCTCTTTCACGCGTATAAACGTGAAGAAGCTATCAAGGAGAAAATAAGGGAAGAGAGGTTACGCAGCACAGCACGGGCCCAGCAGCGGAAGAAGGAAGACGATGAACTGGAAGCAAGGTAACTTACGAGGTCCCTCCGCTCCTTCCCGAGCTGCTCGCTCTCCATCCTGTGTTCTGTAGCCGCCAGAATGCATCAGGACCAAGTGCTTTCCGGACAAGCCTACAATTTCCTAAGGGCGTCTTTGCCATAAAAAGGAATGAGTATTTGGTCTCTGTTCCTGGCAGAGCACCTGAAGCCTTTGTAACTTCCTGAGTAATAGGGTAATGGGAGCATCTTTGGTTCTAATATTTGGTCTTAGTTTCTAGTTTTTAATTTTTTTTTAGACAGGGTCTCACTGTCGCCCAGGCTGGAGTGCAGTGGTGCGATCTCAGCTCACTGCAGCCTCTGCCTCCTGGGTTCAAGTGATTCTCCTGCCTCAGCCTCCCGAGTAGCTGGGATTACAAGCATGTACCACCACGCCTGGCTAATTTTTGTATTTTTAGTACAGACGGGGTTTCACCAGGTTGTCCAGGCTGGTCTTGAACTCCTGACCTCAAGTGATCCGCCCACCTTGGCCTCCCAAAGTGCTGGGATCACAGGGGTGAGTCACTGCACGCAGCCGTTTTCTAGTTCTTGCCCCAAGGGCTTCAATAGCTGTGGACTGTCAGGGTAATGACTGGCTTTTGTATGATGAGATGACTGGGGGCCAGGGGAGGGGCCCTCGATAGCTTCTTGCTGGAGCTGGTTGCCAGGGAACCAACCAGGAGATTAGCGGATTGGGACTTTCAGCTCCAGCGCAACCTCCCAGGAAGGAAGAGGGGCTGGAGCTTGAGTTCAATAACTGATAGCCAGTGACTTAAATCGGGTCTACATATTGGACCCTCCCTAAAATCCCCAAACGAGCTGGGCATCATGGCACATGCTTGTAACCCCGGCACTTTGGGGAACCAAGGCAGGGGAATCACTTGAGTTTGAGACCAGCGTGGGTAATACAGCAAGACCTCATCTCTACAAAAAATACAGAAATTAGCCAGATGTGGTGGCAGGTACCTGTAGTCCCAGCTACTTTGGATGCTGAGGCAGGAGGATTGCTTGAGCCTGGGAGTTGAGGCTGCAGTGATGTGTTTGTGCCACTGCACTCCAGCCTGGGCAACACAGCAAGACTCTATCTCAAAATTATATATAATATTATATATGTATATACACACACACGCACACATATGTAACTTTGGGAGGCCGAGGCAGGTGGATCATCTGCGGTCAGGAGTTTGAGACCAGCCTGGCCAACCTAGTGAAACCCATCTCTACTAAAAATACAAAATATTAGCTGGGCGTGGTGGTGGAAACCTGTAATCCCACTACTCAGGGGGCTGAGGCAGGAGAATCACTTGAACTCAGGAGGTGGAGGTCGCATGGTGAGCCGAGATTGCACCATTGCACTCCAGCCTGGGCAACAAGAGTGAAACTGTCTCAAAAAGAAAATTTTTCTTTTCATAGATACATGAAAAGTTTACTTTGGACTGTGTCGACATGGCATCAGTTATTTCAGGCAAAGCGTAGCAGCTTAGTTCTGTTTAACACGCTGCTGAAATGCAGGTCTGAAGGGCTGTATACTACAAATAGCATCAAACTGTTTTTGCGGTTTTGAGGGGGATTGAAAAAAGCTCCCACCTTCTCATGTTTGCTTTCAGGCTGAATATGTTTATCTTGAGAGAGGAAGAAGCCAAGAGACAAGACGATGAGGTGGACATCATGGTGATCAAGGAGCCGGTGGACGTGTCATCCTCTCACCTCACACTGGACCCTCCCAAGGAGGACGTGACTGTGTCCCCATCCAGCAAGACCATCACCAGCAAGAAGAAGAAGAAGTAGCGAGCCACGAGGACACACACAGAGGCTTAGGACGGCACGTGCTGTAAGATTTCCTGAGCATTACAGTTCTTAGCACTGTACTCGTTGCAGTGTTTTAAAATACTGCCTGGCCCGCTGCATCTCAGGTTTCCTACACGGCTGGATTATGGGAGTTTGAGACCAGCCTGGGCAACATAGTGAGACCCCATCTCTGCAACATTAAAAAATTAGCCGGCATGGTGGTGTGTACCTGTGGTTCTAGCTTCTTGGGAGGCTGAGGCGGGAGGATTGCAGATTGAGGGTGCCGTGAGCCACTGCATTCCAGCCTGGGTCACAGACCTGGTGGCTGGTGTAATCTACAAATAGGCAGCAGGAGACTCAACATAAAACCGGAATTTTAAAAACTTTAACATTTATTAATCTTATTTTCCAGTAAAATATTCACATAATGTCAAAAGAATGGAATGATAGAGATAGTCAACTACCTTTAATTAATTCCACATAAATATTTAAAATCTAAAAACCTCAGGAGATCAGGAGACCGAGTAGAAATGTGATTCTTCAAAGCAAGTATTGCTTTTCCCTTGTCCTGAATGCAGTCCATCATATGACCAGTAACTTGCATATGCCCAAATGTTTGCCGAGTGTCTTTTAAATACGCTTTCGGTGAGCCGTCGTCAGTCAATCCAAGAAGAAGATGTTGTTGAACTGCGTTGCACAGAGTTTCTTGACCTCTTCTGCAAAACCGACAGACAACAGTGAGGAGGGAAGCGGCGGTCACTTAAAAGGTTATGTGACATATAATTAAATTCTTCTTGGGTAAAATTAGGAATAGATATTTGCATTGATTTTGACCTTAAATCCCAGAAGACTAGGCAAGAATCTTTTTTTTTTTTTTTTGAGACAGAGTCTTACTGTGTCACCCAGGCTGGAGTGTAGTGGTGTGATCTGGTGTGATCTTGGCTCATTGCAGCCTCCACCTCCCAGGTAGCTGGGACGACAGGTGCACACCACCACGCCCGGCTAATTTTTGTATTTTTGGGTAGAGACAGGGTTTCGCCAGGCTGGTCTTGGACTTCTAACCTCAGGTGATCCGCCCACCTTGGCCTCCCAAAGTGCTGGATTGCAGGCATGAACCACTGTGCCCAGCCAAGAAATGTTAACAAGAGGGGAGAAAACCACCTAAGAAACCTACCAGGCCTCAGTAGTTCTGAGCATATAACGCTGCTGCCCAGCCTGAGGAACTGCAAGCAAAGTGCCCAGGACACCCGGGGAGGGGGTTAGAAGCACGAGGCCGGCGCTGTCGTCATCCTGGGAGAACTGATGGAACAACAGAGAAACTGACAGCGCCCCTGAGCTGCAGACCCAGCGCCCCGCAGACGTGTCGGGATTTTGATCTTACTGAATTCAGTTTGGATCAGGCTTGTATTAACTGATGTTTCTAATGCACACAATTACTAATGCAAGTGTTAATAATAGAAAAATGTAGTATGCCCGAGAAGATACAAGGGGAAAAAAAAGACGCTTACACTGAATTTCCACACAGTGTACATGTGGGGCATCGCCCAAGGGGGCAGCTCTGCCGAGGCGAGGTCCCCTCTCTCCAGGGCAGCCGAGCTGTCAGCAGAGCAGCTGCCGGGTCACCCCGTGTGGTGGGCACGGCTGGCCGCTTTGGCGGGAGGGCAGGAGAAAATGCCTTATCATGCTGCCGGTGTTCAGAGGGATCGTTGTAAACGGCCACATGAACCTGGCAGCTTCTCCCTAAAAAAGATACGTTTATATCACAGGATATTAAAAAAGGACATTTGGGGCTGGGCAAGGTGGCTCCCGCCTGTAATCCCAGCTCTTTAGGAGGCCGGAGGATCGCTTGAGGCTTGGAGTTTGAGCCCAGCCTGGGCAACAGACCAAGACTCCGTCTCAAAAAAAAAAAAAAAAAATTAGCGGGTATTATGACACATGCCTTGGTGACACATGCCTGTGGGCTCAGCTACTCGAGAGGCTGAGGTGGGAGGACTGCTTGAGCCTAGGAGTTGGAGGCTGTGGTGAGCTATGATTGCACCACTG